ACCTTAATGATTCTATGATTCTATGTAGGGGAAAAAAAGGTGCAGAGTACTAATGAGATATTGGTATGATTAGTAGGTGTGTGATCTTGAAGTAAGTCAGCATTTAGCATCATTTCTATTTAGTTTTCCAGAGCAGAGCTGGAATTTGAACTGTTGGTGCAACTATACACATTGAACTGTCTACACCTAAAAGGATTTAAAGTAATTAAACTGTCAAAATGAGCGCTCATGAGGCATAAGTTATATTATATAACTTGTTATTATGTCTAATTATCAGTTTAAACACTCCAATTATAAAAAATTAAGAATAAACCTTTCCTAATACATACACACTTCTATACATGTAATTTCATAAAAGTATTAAAGTTGGTTTGTGTTTTCAATTCCTACCTGAATTCAACTTCAACAAGGCTTAATTCTTTCAAGTCTGCACTAAGTTCAAAAGCTCGCAGGATTGGATCCTCTTCTGTCAACATTATTAAAGCAGGACTGGCCAAACACCGATAAATGTCAAGACGAAACCTGTGACAAAAGAATAGCAAGCAAAATGAAGATGTTTCATTTGATTAGCAGTTTCAAATCGGAACCTTTTCCAAAAGTTTGCATAAAACGGTCAGCTGAAAGACAAAGCAATTGGGTTTCTTAAAACCAGACACTACAAACATTAAATATGATATGTCATGGAAGATACTGTCCTTCACATACTTAAAATCGCCATTATTCTAAGCATCAAAAATTGGCCAAACTGGTTCCCTCTTCTTTTCCTCACTTCTTCAACTGTTATCAGTACATCAGCAGCAGGCCAGCAATTAAGGTAACAGTATTGTTAAAATTTTGACATTTTAAGTGTTATACAGTAGCTCTTATGGTTCTTCAAGTGTAAATAAGAGAGGGAAGTAAAGCTTTTAAGGCAATCTTCTATTTTAACAAACTAAATTAAAAACAGTGGGGAGCTTTAATGTGTGATACAAAAAAAAAAATTCAGGGAAAGCATCTGAAGGGATGTTTTCCTCTTGCTAAACTAGCGACTCGTGAACACGGAAACGAAGTCTGTTATCCATTCTAGTTTAAACTAAGAGCTGTTATCTCAAACGTTTCTACTGTGTGTTTGCTTGGGATACCCTGACACCTTTTCTCATACTGAAGTTAATGACATGGGGTATCAGATGGATACCAGGATGTGGCCTGTAGTAGCTGAATACCAGTAACAATTATCCTTTCACTTCCCTTATTTTTTAGTAATTTGGATACATACTGGAGTAATTATGTAATAATTAATTATATATTGTAATTGCAGTCCACTTACGATCTTTGAGCTCTGTGATTTTTCACCCCAACTCTCACACACTAAATTGTATACAACCCTCAATTGTCAAGTTAACCAGACGAAATACCATTAAAATTGCTAAATCCCTCTCCTCATTTGAACCTTTATTAAAAAGTTTTCTATTTTCAAAAATACTGAAGAAAAAAAGAAAAAAAAAGTCTTTAGTTTGCATTCATCAATCCATGCTACATAAACACATTTAGAAACAGGATACAGAATTATCCACCTCCTCATTCTGGCTCAAAAAAACCCAAGTATTAACTAACTTAAGAAAAAATTTATTTGCATAGTTCCTAGGCTCCCAAGCCAAAAACAGCTAGAATGTTTGTGACACAACTGGTAGAAAGGAAAGGCGCTTAGCTTAATATGCACAGTGACTAAGAGTATAAAATCAAAATGAAAAAAAGCCACTGCCTCCCACCAGCCTTTTCAAGCACAACCTATCCCCGAGAACTACCATCCTCTCACATTAAAGGCTACAATATACTAAAGGAATCCACTCAAACCTCACCTTAAAGAGAAAAAGGAAATATACTGAATCTGACCCAAGCAATACCAGAGAATTAAGACAAGATTTTTTTTTTATTATTGTCTACGACTGGTAAGTCTCACCTGGAATGTCGTAGACTATCTTTTTTGTTCTTTGCAGTACACAGTGTGCATTCACAGCCTACAGCATGAGGTTTGGGTAACGATATATCTTGCTTTAACAGCATGGTGAGAATTTCATAGTTGTTACGATGAGCAGCTAAAATGACAGGTGCTACATCCATAGTCGTCGAGTACTCTGGGTTCTGAATGCGTTCCATTAGTTTCTGGAATAAAATGTAGGAAGTATCTAAATTTATTACATACAGTTCTAATACAGTGTTTACATGTAAGGGGTTTTTTGACTGTTCAACAATAAATCTCTCCTTCAAAATATCCGCCCATGTTTCATAACACGAAAATAAGGAAAAACTTGTAACAACATTCAAACACCTCTCAGATAAATACCGGAAAAAGAAAAGTGCTGGAGCGTGTCCAAAGAAAGGCAACGAAGCTTGTGAAGGGTCTAGAGTACAAGTCTTATGAGGAGCGGCTAAGGGAGCTGGGATTGTTTAGTTTGGAGAAAAAGGGGCTCAGGGGAGACCTTACCGCTCTCTGCAACTACCTGAAAGGAGGTTGTAGTGAGGTGGGTGTCGGTCTCTTCTCCCGAGTAAGAAGCGATAGGACAAGAGGAAACAGCCTCAAGTTGTGCCAAGGGAGGTTTAGATTGGATATTAGGAAAAAATTCTTCACTGAAAGGGTTGTCAAGCATTGGAACAGGCTGCCCAGAGAAGTGGTTGAGTCAGTATCCCTGCAGGTATTTAAAAGACGTATAGATGTGGTGCTTAGGGACATGGTTTATGGTGGACTTGGCAGTGCTAGGTGAGCGGTTGGACTGGTTTATTTACATAGAAAACCTGACATTCAATGCCTACCTTCTCCAATATACATGCATGATATTAAAAAGTGTATTTTGCTCTAATTTGAGAAAAAATTATGAGTATATTTACTATCTAAGCACAGAAAAAATATTCTGACTGTACCATACACTGTTACGCAATGCCTTATTCCTTCCCTCCCTTCACCTCAACTTGTGAACTTCTAAAAGTTCTTTGATACTTAAGCATTGCCAAGATAAGTTTCAACTGATTAATTTCAAGGCGAAGATTTGATCTTTTATAGATTTGTTTATAGATTTGCTTGAAAAATCTATGAAGCTTCAATACATGAATATACCCATTATAGGTCAGGCTGCTAATTACCTTGCAAATAGTCTACAAGAAAAGATTTATAACCACTCTATTTTTTTTCTCTTCTGGACTAACTAGGCATCTGTTAGCATTTTGCACATATAAAGCCACTGGATTCCTTAGGCGGTTGTCCTGGTTTCAGCTGGGATAGAGTGAAATTTCTTCCTAGTGCTGTGTTTCGTATTCAGTATGAGAAGAATGTTGCAAAATATCCTTTAAGACAAAAGAGGCTATAAAAATAATCCCTAATGTCCAGATTCTATCACCTTAGAGATGCAGAATTTCATTTAAGAACATTGTTTTAAATACTACAGTTACCCAGAATGCAATAGCCCCCATTCCCTGACCAAAATCAAGGAATAACAACACTCAACTACAATGGTTGGTCTTGAGGATCTTTTTGGTCGGTGATTAAGTAGAATGTCAACAGCTCCCACCACTTCCGAGTCAATAGCCACCAAAAGTGCATCCGATGACTAAGAAAAGAAAAAAAGAGCAGTACCTTAAACAGCGTAAAGAGTCAATCTGAAGCCAAACTGCATTTTCACTTTTTTACTTTTTTTTTTTTTTTTAATTTATTTTTAAAGTACTAAAACAATGTTCTGTATTATCTCCATGCGTATGATCAGGATACAAATTCAGGTTGTCATTCCAGGAGTTAGCATAGCATTACTGACAATTTGTTTCATTGCATGAACAGCAGAAGAACCAATTGCAGAAATTACTTTCCAGCAAAGATGATGCAGAACACTTGCAAAAATCAAGTTCTAAGGGACATTTTACCAGGTTATTAAAGATGTTAAAAGCAAGTGTTTGTGTAACACAACTCAGGTATATGGGATACTTCATTCTGTGGTAAAGCTAGGAACGTAAGTTTTTTTTTCTGGGCTGGTAACTATTTCTGAAACTTCTCTTAAATTGAGCTAAGCAGCTTTTCATTTTCCCTCTAGTTGATACTATTCTTTTTAATTCACTTTAGAAAATTCAAATTTTTACTTTAAAAATAAAAGAAAAAGACACAGCTTTTATTATTGCCACTAAAAAGGAGATCCAGGGAGGAGAAAGCTTCTTGTTTTTTTCCCATCCAATATCAAACAACCTAACAAAGGATACTACTTTTCCCTGTCTTACATACTTAAGCCTCATAGCTACAACTCTCGCAGCAGCAGCAGAGATGTTGCATATAGTTAAGGAAGTATTGTTGGTATGAAACCGCCTCTGCCATCAAGCACAGATCAAGTTTAACAAGAAAGCACTGCAGAAATGCATGCTTGCCTTAACTTAAAATAATCTAATATAACGTGCATTTTTTTAACTGTGCTATCATTTTAAAAGTTATTATACTCCACAGCCAAAGAGATCTCTGCATTCCACACCTTTTAATATGACGCACTCTGACTACATACTGTTTATTTTGCTTGAAGATAATGTATACATTATCTCTGCAACAGAAATAACATTTAAAATAAAATTCAGCCTTGTTAATATCACTGAAAGTGTTTCTTATACACTTGCCATGTCAATAAAATCCCACTAGAAAAGTAAATTAGTGAGAAGAAAACACTTTCACAATCAGTAAATGGAAAAAGAACTGAACTGCCTATAAAGACAGATTCTACTTCCTTCCAAATTCTGACAGATTAAAAAAGATGATCTATGAAGAGTAGAATACACAGATCAATGACTACACTAAAAATTTTCAGTAACTTATGTGTTCTATACCTGGCAGCCATAATCCAAAAGAAGCTGTAGTATGTCCAAGTTTTCATTTTCAATGGTTATGGTAACAGCATTTCGTCCAAGCACATCTACACAATTTATGTTCATTTCGCCCGAGCTGTTTTCCTCTAAGAGTTTCTTAACCATGTAATAGTCACCTGCACAAGTAACATATGAGTGTCACTTAGTATTACTATAAAGCAATAAAAGCATGTGAACATTGTAAGTACCAGCTACCATCAAACAAGACAACATTCCATAGCTGATAACAGACATTGAGTATGTCAGACAATTAAAAAGTCAGGGTAGATAAACATTCTCTCATCAGGGAGGAAACTAAAGATATTTCAGGAGGTCTCTTTCAGGAAGGCATTAAGACATGTACTTTAATCCACCACTTTAGTTTCTGTCCTAAAAACAAACACACACAAAAGCATGGGTACTTTTCAAAACTGGGGCAACAGCTCATACATAACCTATGAGACACAGGAAACATCAAGTTCTACTACGTCAGAGAAGGCTTCTCCGTTCAAAAGAGCCATAGGCTCAGAAAAGCCCTCTCTACAATGCTACAAACTGGTTTGCATCTTCTTTGAGCAGAAGCCACATTAGTCTTCTCTGTATCACTCCAATTTTAGCATATATATCTTCAAAGCAGGTGTGATATGATGCTGCAATGTTATAAAATTCAAGCTAGCAAGTTTGATGAGCAAGTTAAGCTAACTACAGTAAGATGTACATAAGCTGCACTTTCCTATTTGACTGAAGTATAGACACACCAGGCTGCCCTGTTTAGTGTTATTGTTTAATTTATTCTTCTTGTCCAAGATAAATGCTTTGAATTATTTTTGTCTATAGGGTAACAAATTATTTTGCAACACAGAAGACCATAAGAAAGACAGACTTAGTGTAGAATACTTACAGAAGTATACGTAGAATACCTCTACGTGCAGTAGAATACGTACAGAGTCTGCAAGAGTACTAAACCAGCTGTTATCTAGATATTTTTTTTTTTCTTCACATTTTTTGTTGTACATCCTTTTAGCTCCCAGAGCCTCTGTTTATACTTCGATAGAAGGCTGTGGGGCAGTCTGATCTTCAGGATAGACTACACCAGCAGCACAGCTGCAGGCAGTCCAGCTGTCTAACAGCAAGGCATCCCGCCACAGAGAGCACCAGAAGAAACTTCCTAAGCCCGCTGGCTAACATCACTGCAGAAATACTCCTACGGTTGTGAACTAACCTAAACACACAGCCAGCAGACAGCTCTGCGTATAAACACACTGGCTGCTACAACCATGCTTATGTCCTAAAGTACACATAACCATTCAGCATGATGAAAAGCCTATCTTAGAGTCCAACATTTTGGACATGTTACGATCAGTTTGATTTAAGACTGTTTCTCTACTTAAGGGTAACTAAATATATTCTTAAAGTAAGTAGCATATTTTAGAAAGGAAAAATCTCTTCCCATGCACCACTATGGGTGCAAATCACAGGAAACTAGTCTCACTCATTCTGGGGACGTCTAGATAAGCCTCCAATTTTACAATAACTATCTACTCACAAACACTTTAACAGTGAAGGCAGCAAATACCTTACGAACTCCCCTGACACATGACGAACTCCCTCACAAACACAGGAGCTGTCCCAACGCCTCCCCTCCCCCGGCGCCCGCTGCTACTGGGGATAGCGGGAGGCGGCGGAGCTGCGGGAGCGGAACAGGACGGCC